TTTGTTATATATATATATATATATATATATATATATATATATATATATATATATATATATATATATATATATATATATATACTCAGAAAATTAATGAAAATATACATGCGTCCACGTGTATGTGTACGTGTGTGTGTGTGTGTGTGTGTGTGTGTGTGTGTGTGTGTGTGTGTGTGTGTGTTTGTGACGAAATGTTATCTTCCTATATATGACAAAAAAAAAAAACAAAGCGTCAACATCCAAGTCATCGTGTCATGTAAATTTTCCAAAAAAAAAAACAAACACTTAAAAACATAAATTAAAAAAAGATGAATGAAAATAAGTAAAACTGTATATGCGGAGACGAGAAGAAGAAAAATTGTTCAAACGTTCAACAACGAGGAGATGAATATCATCTTTAAGTAATCCGGTTGAAGTGAAAATAAAAGTCAATCAGCAGTTATCTGTTTCAAATAAATAAATATTATGAAAAAAAAAATTAATTAATTAATTAAGCAATTATGTGGCCGTGAGAATTATCGAAGAAATTAATTACATTGAATTAATTAACATTCACGCTCTATTTAATAAATTGAAAATTGTAATTGAAAATAAGAAAAAATAAAATACATTAATCTGTAAAATGCGTTGTACCGTCCTCAAAATTGTCGGTTACGCTAGCTATAAACAATCCCTCTCTCTCTCTCTCTCTCTTTTTCCCATTCTCTCCCTCTCTCTCTCTCTCTCTCTCTCTCTATATATATATATATATATATATATATATTTATATATATATATATATATGTATATATATTAATATATATATATATATATATATATTTATATATATATATATATATATTTATATATATATATAACTCTTCTGTACATTGAATGGTGCACGTATGCATGTAACATAGCATAATTAGAGCATTACATAAGTAGAATCAAGTTTTGCCAGAATCCGATCCGTCAAAATTGAAACCAGAATCAATGGCATTGTAGAGACTATGAGAAGAAGGTTGCATCATATTGTTGTTGTTGTTGTTGTTGCTACTACTGTGGTGGATGGGTGACTGCAGGTAAGTTGGACTGCTGCCAGCGTTCGAACCGCTAAACGACGAGTTGGATGGCCTGCTTGGACTCAATATCATGTTCGATCTGCCCATGTTGTTGTCATTCGACGAATGCAACTCCTCGCCTAAAAAAATGCTGTCATCCATGTTGGACCCCCCGGCCAGGTGATTGGAAGGGCCGCCTGAGCCCATCGACATTTGGATCTGCTGGTGTAGTTGTTGTTGTTTTTTCAACTTTTGCCTTCTGTTCTGAAACCAGATCTGTACATGGATGAATGGATTGAGTGAGTGACTCTCGTTGCTTAATTTACAATGAACAAATATCCATGCACGGAGTATGAGTATATCACATCGTATCATATATCATATCATATATGAGCCATACATACATAAATACGTGTCATATCATATCATGTTGTATCATATCATATCACACCATAACATATCTTATAACCAAACCATCATAAACAACATTATATCAAATCGAACCAGTACTATCAAACACACACACACACACACACACACACACACACACACACACACACACACACACACACACACACACACACACACACACACACACACACATATATATATATATAAGAAGGACCAACATTAATGGTTCCCTCTGATAGGTTGAGTTGCCTGGACAGTTTCATACGCAGACCAGCATCGACGTAATGGACAGTCTTGAAGACGTCCTCCAAACATTTGACCTGAGATTTCGAGAACGTTGACCTCTGCCTCCTCTGTAGCAATCTGGCAAAATAATTTATCTATATTTTTTTATTCATATTTATTGTTATATTTTTTTTTATTTATTACAAAACTCAGACCAGAAACCCCCATCACATAGGCTTGTATGGTTGAACATCATCATCTCATCTACTTATACTGTTAGCGTTTTGCTCATAGGAATATAATATATAAATATAATATAAAAACATTAATTAATTAATTAATTAATTTAGTTATCTTATTTTACTACTATTTATTTACATTAATTTTATAATAATAAAAATAAATTTGCAAGTTCAAAAAAAAAACAATATGGCCCTCAAGTGAATTACATTCAATGAGTCACCAGGCTAAAGTTTACTACAATGACAACATATTTATGGAAGGCAATTTCTATATCTCTAGGAAGCCCTATTTAAATGGAAAGATATGATAGAGTGGATATAGGAGCTACTTACATGTCATGAGGTAGTAATCTTACTCAAGCAATCACATCACAATAAGCAACACATCATGTAATGTGTACACGGATGCAAAAAATTAAGTGCAACATCCATAAAGAAGAAGAAAAAGAAGAAGAAGAAAAAGAAGAAGAAGAAGAACAACAACAACAACACAAATAAAAAAGAACCTGTTGATTTGTTGTTGTTGTGAAAATTGTTGTGGTGTCATGTTCATGAAATCATTGTTGTTGTTGTTGTTGCAAGCAAGCGAGAAGTCTTCACCGTGAAAGCCCTGGCTTGAGGTGATGTCGACGAGTTGAGAGTATAAGTCAGATATGTTGTTGCTGTTGCGTTGCTGTTGTCGTAGTTGCTGTAGGTGGATGTTGTTGTTGTTGTTACTGCTGTTGTTGTTGTTATCATTTCTCACTGAGTTGTTGTTGTTGGTGGATATCGATTGCGTGAAGGTAGTTGCATTGTTCTGAAATCATAACGATCATCGTTAACATCATCACCATTCATTATCACAAAAATTTTCGCCATCATCGACACTGAGTGAAAATTCAAAAGTCAGCAACAAGTCACTAGCAGAAAAAAAAATTTTGACTGAAGCATTCCTGAAATGATTCATCAGGATGCTATGGTATGCATGCTTAGTCTGCCATCGGGTTCAATCCACGACCCATCTGGTCCACAGAACACAAGTTTTCTGACAGACCAGGAAGAACTGATAATTCTAATCATGAGGAGCTTCCTCAAAAAAACAACACACACCTTGCTATTTCATTCACTCAAAATAAATCTGTACTAGCAGTTGATCGATAAAATATGCAGAGAACATGCTAAACATGAGGCTGAACAGAGACATTATGCTAATTAGTTGACTGGATGTAGGGAAGTTTTAAAAATGCTCTTCTCATGAATAAACAAATAAATAGCAACAATTTCATTCATGGTCAAAAACTAATTCGTTGCAGAGAGAGAGAGAGAGAGAGAGAGAGAGAGAGAGAGAGAGAGAGAGAGAGAGAGAGAGAAAGAGAGAGAGAGAGAGAGAAAGAGAGAGAGAGAGAGAGAGAGAGAGAGAAAGAGAGAGAAAAAAAAATTGTTCACAGTTATGTCTGTCTACACTTGCATAATGGCATGTCAGACAGAAATATAAATATACAACATTTTATCTGTACCTGAGCATAAGAGGTTTTTCCAGAATTTCTAAAAATAGCAACCGGGCTGTTGTTGATAACTGCACCTACCCCTGCACCACTGCCGACGAAACTTCGACCAATCATGTTGCTGCTGTTGTTCCTGTGTCGTGGAGATCCCCCGGTCATCCATTTGTCATGTTGTTGCTGTTGATGATTGTTGCTGTTGTTGTTGTTGGGTCTGTTCTGTTGATGTTGTTGTTGTTGATGATGGTGGTCATCGTAGTTGCGGCTGGCTTGGTGATGTTGGTAGGTGTCCGGTGGCTCAATCTGTTGGCAGGGGAAAAAAAAGAAGTAACAGAATGCAGAAGTAACAAAAGAAAACCATCCTACAGAAATATCATCATCTTATGAAGTCACCAATCAGAGGTATTATAAAATGATAGTATCATAAAATGAAGTAATATAATCATTTAGGAGAAATATGATTAAATGATTATGCACAGTCTTTCACCATCATTCCAAAATGGATTATCTCAGATAGAGTCTCACCTTTATAACAACCCTACGCTAAAAAAGACCAACCTTATAATTGCTGCCAGCCACAGTTACTACAGCTGCCTACACAAAATTAAAACGAACTAGAACGTTATTTACAGCTTGATAACCTTTAATTAATTAATTAATTAATTGTAACTTTTAATTGTGTTCTATCCATCCTTACAACACCTTATCTTAATTGCACGCAGCAGCTCTTATTTTGCTACCTTATCTCAATGATTGTCTCTACATAGTCAGTGTACAGTTCATTACATGTGCCCTGCCAATTTACTCTGGTTGATGTGTATCTATTATGAGGTATCTTCAATTTTAGGTGACAAGTGCAAGTGAGCTATTGAAAGCTGATTGGTCCAATCATCATAAACATCATGCATTAAGACAATGAAAAATAATAGTACAATAATATTACTGCTGCTACTATTACTACTACTACTACTACTAGTAGTAGTAGTAGGGTTAGTACTAGTACTAGTAGGGTTACTACTAGTAGTAGTAGTAGGGTTAGTACTAGTACTAGTAGGGTTACTACTACTAGTAGTAGTAGTAGGGTTAGTACTAGTACTAGTAGGGTTACTACTACTAGTAGTAGTAGTAGGGTTAGTACTAGTACTAGTAGGGTTACTACTACTAGTAGTAGTAGTAGGGTTAGTACTAGTACTAGTAGGGTTACTACTACTAGTAGTAGTAGTAGGGTTAGTACTAGTACTAGTAGGGTTACTACTACTAGTAGTAGTAGTAGGGTTAGTACTAGTACTAGTAGGGTTACTACTACTAGTAGTAGTAGTAGGGTTAGTACTAGTACTAGTAGGGTTACTACTACTAGTAGTAGTAGTAGGGTTAGTACTAGTACTAGTAGGGTTACTACTAGTAGTAGTAGTAGGGTTAGTACTAGTACTAGTAGGGTTACTACTACTAGTAGTAGTAGTATGGTTAGTACTAGTACTAGTAGGGTTACTACTACTAGTAGTAGTAGTAGGGTTAGTACTAGTACTAGTAGGGTTACTACTACTAGTAGTAGTAGTAGGGTTAGTACTAGTACTAGTAGGGTTACTACTACTAGTAGTAGTAGTAGGGTTACTACTAGTAGTAGTAGTAGGGTTAGTACTAGTACTAGTAGGGTTACTACTACTAGTAGTAGTAGTATGGTTAGTACTAGTACTAGTAGGGTTACTACTACTAGTAGTAGTAGTAGGGTTAGTACTAGTAGGGTTACTACTACTAGTAGTAGTAGTAGGGTTAGTACTAGTACTAGTAGGGTTACTACTACTACTAGTAGTAGTAATAGTGGTAGTAGTGGCACTAGTACTACTAATACTACTACTACTACTACTAACAATCAAATGATTGTTAGCAGTAGTAGTGTAGTAACAACAACAACAACAACAACAATCAGTCGTCACATATTGGAGACATTAGAAACAAAACAATAGGGGACATTGTCTAACTTGTACGCATAATAACCACGTCAGAATAGGCTACAGTAGAAAGCAACTCAATTCATTCCTTATTTCTACTTTCTAAATAAAATATTATTAAGAATTAAAATATCGCTAGTGGAGTCAACAAATCATGAAACTATTTTATTCCTGGAATAAATAAACAAACTATGTAGCAAACAAACAACCAAGCGAACAAAAGAAACAAAGAACGAACGAACGAACAAACAAACTAACGAAAGAACAATTATCAATATTGAGAACAAATCATCCCATCAAAATGAAACAACCTATCACTACAATTATAGCAACTCTTCAAGTGCACTAACTACCTACCTACATAATCTATTAAGATGATTGCAATATTGAACCATGAATTAATTGTTAAAATTCATAAAAATATGAATGATTGAATGAATGAATGAAAATCGCACAATTAAATATCATTTAATATTATTTATCCTAATACCTAATATTATTAAAAAAATACACACACACAAGCCACACACACACACACAGGCACGCACATTCAAATGCATATTAATCTCATTAGTAACACTACTCTGCTACTAACAAGCATGTAACTACTATGCAGTAAACATCAGCAGCCAGCCCATCCCATTAACTAAAATACAAGTTAACATTTAATTGAAAATTAAAATTCTTAATGGATTAAAAATCAAATTATTAAAAATAATTGACAATATACTATTATACAATCTATCTCTCCCTTACCATTATAAAAAAAAACACGAAAAACGAATAAAATAAACTAACAGGAAATAGAATAGCAAAAAAGAAACACAAAAAATCAAATTTACTTTGATCAAAATTTTGACAAATGTGAATAACTTTTTTAAATTTTTTAAAACTTCTCAAAATTTGCCGCTCGGGGCGCGTGTCTCACTTCCCCTAGTTACGGGCCTGGATGCATTAATTCATTCATGAATTGCATTGATCCAGACCGGATCCAAACTAGCATGCATGGATGCTTTAATCCATCATAACGCTTAATTACATCACCTTGATACTCTGAAAATCAGCCAGCATGCCCAACTCCTCTCTCAATCTCCCTTCAGAGCACAAATCACCAACATTAATTTTTTCAACCCCTCCAATCAATCAACATTCATTCACATAGATTTCATAACAGCATTCCAAACTTTTGTTTCAACATATTAAAAGCTACATACATATGTGTATGTATTGTATACAAATAAATGAACAACATTATATATATATATATATATATATATATATATATATAATTTGTGTGTGTGCATATGTCTGTGTTTGTGTGTTTGTCTGTTTGTTTGTTTGTATGTTTGTAAGTATGTATGGATGTAAGTATGTGTGTGTGTGTGTGTGGTATGTGTGTGCTGTGTGTGTGTGCGTGTGTGTCTATAAATGTGTGTGTCTGTGTGCAAGTGAAATA